TCATAATTCTTTTCATTTATGTAGGTCAGACATTCTGGAGTTCTCTTTCTTTTTTTGTAGGAATGAGATGTGTATAAGAGACAGACCCAGTGGTCCTCTTTCTTCTCGAGCGTTAACAAACGTAAAAAAGGGTAAGTAAAAAAAACAGTATTTAACTGCGGATTTCTATGTGAAAAAATGGAAAGGGGAAAGAGTTTTTTTTTTATGTCACTCCAAGTTAATCATATTATTGGCAGGTTTGTAGTTCTGACTGGTATTACCATCACGTGACTCCGCCATTGCGATTTTTTTAAACAGTTTGTTTTTTTACTATATACCAACAGATAACGGATTGTCTGATGAGTTAGTCTAAATTTATCCGTACCGGATGATGCATCCAGAAAATTATCTGTTATCCGAGTTCAGGATTGGATTAAGGTGAATTATCCGGATAGACGGATTTCGGGATTGCATCTTATATAACAAATCATGTCTCATCTGCGACTGTAAAGAAACAAAATCAAGCATTTTCAATTTTTCAGTACGTAATAAATGTAAAAAGTTATAATAACTCATACCTCTCTCCATCCCTATAAGAAATATGTATACGGAAAGGATACGTTTGTATACATTTTATGTACATTTCTATAGATTCCGTATACAAATTCCGTATGTTTAATAAGCAATTCATTTTTGAACATTTTTTAAAAAAACTAATGTATACGAAATGTATATGGAAAAAATTAATCATACGGAATGTATACGGAATTTTTAAACTTAATATTTTTAGAAAATAATTTTACAAAAATCTTGTATCATAACACGAGATCACGTGATTAGGGTTCTGATCAGTTTTGGTAATTATTGAACCGAACCGATCGGTTTTCAGTTTTTGGTCGGTAATTACATCAAAAATTACCGACCTAACACTTCGGTAATTTACCGATCGGTTTGGTAATTTCAGTTTTCGGTATCGGTTTTATCATTTCTCGAACCGATTTACCGATCTGACTTTTTATTTTGTGATTTGGAAAACTGATAATCTTTTTTAGTCCATATATATAGTTTTTATTTTTTAATATTTTTTTTTTTTCACGTTTATTATTAATTGTATTAATTGATAACAATCATACAATGGATTACAATTTTATATAAATACCTAGAGTATATTAAAATAAATTTAGTATCCCCTATAACTAAGTTCAATCTATAACTAAATAAATAAAAACTGATAAATTCAAAAGACGATTTTTTACTATATTTTCTAAATTTTTTCAAGATTTCTAATTTTTCTAACTAATTAATGACATCCTATAATATCTACATTGCAAAAAAAAAAAAATAAATAAAAATTAATCAAAATAATATTGAAATAATACATTAAGAATCTAAATTGCTGAATCTAAACTTTTTATGAAAATATCTCCAATAAACGTCCGTATTCTCCAACGTCTGTGCTATATCTTCGATAAATTCCAGTTTAAATCCAAGGATCTCAATCGTAAATTTGCTTATTTATTTTTTAATATAGTTTTTGTAATAAATACATCGAGGAGTAGTAAATTTCGGTAAATCAGTATCGGTAATCGGTAATTACCGGCCGATTTCAGTTATACAGTTTACCGATATTGAAAATTCGGTAAATTACCGATTACCGATACCGAAATTCGGTTTCAGTTTCGGTATGACTCAAACTGAAACCGAACCGTACCGATCAGAACCCTACACGTGATTGTTTATTGTTTTGTTATAATACGTTTTTTGTTTTTTATATAAACCCTTACTTTGATTTCCTGTTCTTCTTTCGGTAGTGGAGGGGGATCAGGCTGGTTCCAACGTCTTTAAAGAAGTTCGAGTCCATCCTGGTGATGGATGATAGCTAGAAGTAGGATAACTCACCCTTTTGAGGGTATATGTTCTGTTGAATAGTCTGTTTGGCTTCACATAAAATAAATAAATATAAACCCTGCTTACTTTGATGAGTTTGATCTTCCGATCTTCCTTTCTGTCTTTCCCTTCCTTCTCTTTTCTCTTGTTTTATTTTTGTTATTTTTTTTAAATTTTTCTTCTTTTTTCGTCACCCCCTTTTAAAAAAAATTTTTTTTTTCGTACCTCACTTTAAAAATTTTTTTTTGATTTTATTCTTTATTCCCACTCTTTTTTTTTGTAGGTTGTTTCAGTTTTGTTGCTTCAGAGTCTTCTTTTTTTGTAGGTCAGTTTTGGATTTATTTTGTTGTTTTGGTTTCTTTTTTCATCAGATGCTTCATAATTCTTTTCATTTATGTAGGTCAGACATTCTGGAGTTCTCTTTCTTTTTTTGTAGGAATGTTGACCTTTGGTGACTTGGACGATTGCAGATACTATATGAAGGGAGTTTTTGTTTCCAATTAAGTTAGACGTTCTTATGTTTCTTTTTTTGTTTTTTTTAGGTTGTTTGACTCCAAATGAACCTGAACTTATAGATAATTTTGGTTGCAATAGGTGGTTTTAACAAGGAGGGAATTTTCATAATGTATTTGTATTTTGTTTATTTTTATTTTTTATTTAATTTAATAAAGTAAAATTAGATTTATGTAAATATAATTATAGTAAACTGTAATATAAACAGTAAATTCAGTGACCAAATCGTAATACAAATTTCGTGATAAAATCAGTGATCAAATCATGTAAATTCCATATGAATTCCGTGCAAATTCCGTATCCAAACCATATTTTTAGTGATACGGAATTGTGCATTTTTCCGTATCCTATTATGATACTGTCTCTTATACACATCTAGATGTGTATAAGAGACAGGTGCAAATTCCGTATCCAAACCATATTTTTAGTGATACGGAATTGTGCATTTTTCCGTATCCTATTATGATACGTTATTTCTAAGGAAAAAAATCGTATAAAAACTTTATAAAAAACGTATCCAATTTTTTTATAGGGCGTCCCTACAGCTTAAGTGTTTTTATAGCAACACTACTATACTTCTGATTGCTACGCCACTAATCAACCTGTCTCTTATACACATCTAGATGTGTATAAGAGACAGTGTAAATTCCATATGAATTCCGTGCAAATTCCGTATCCAAACCATATTTTTAGTGATACGGAATTGTGCATTTTTCCGTATCCTATTATGATACGTTATTTCTAAGGAAAAAAATCGTATAAAAACTTTATAAAAAACGTATCCAATTTTTTTATAGGGCGTCCCTACAGCTTAAGTGTTTTTATAGCAACACTACTATACTTCTGATTGCTACGCCACTAATCAACTAGTTAAATGAATTGCTTTCGTTGACAATTTTATTAATACATATTAATACATTAAATCATGGATATCATAGATAAAGATAGTATCTTCCTCATACTAAGGTTCCACCAAAACCGACAATTAACATGTTTCTCTTATACAATTTTGGATTGACCAATTCCGATGTCATACGTATCACAATATTTTACACAATATGAAAGTATGCTGCTATCATAAGAGATAAAATTTCTTTCTTTCTCAAAGTGAAATAATCAATATTTACAACGATGTTTGGAAAGATGGTATATTTCAAATTTATTAATACGCTTGCTTATTGCAATTACTATAATAAATAATAACATATTTGTTTTATTAAAAGAATTATAGATTCTTATATATGTCAGCTTTTTTATTTCGTAATAATTATAACATGGGACAACCAATTTTCATTGCAAACTTCGGAAAAATAATGGTATATATATAATATTTTTATTTATTATCTGGTTTAATTGAAAACATTTTATTTTAATAAACTTTTCGGAAAGAAGAGAAGTGTATCTCTTTCTCACCGTTCCTATATTGCGAATAATATATCGACTTCCCATTGGAAGCATCATCATGAGGAGCAAGTAGGTTATATTAATACCGTACTTCACTTTTAATAAAATACATAAATAAAAAAAATTATTTTTTTGACAGATTACCAGAATCATCCGTCAGTTGGTTCAAAGCAAAAAAAGATATAAAATATACGGGTATAGTAAGCGGTCATGTCAAGAGTGTCAAAGTGAGTGGAAAAGTAAAAGTCCTTATACTAAGGAATCACTCGAAGACTATCTAAAAGAATCTTCAAATGAATTACTCAACGAACTTTGCGAAAAATGCAATGAAATGAAGCCGATCTCGAGTTTTCTTCTGTACAAGAAGTCACCATTAGAAGATCATATAGACGTAAGTCATTTTTCAAAATGAAACACAAATTTCTTTTATCTAAAATTTTTTTTTTTTAAAAGATAAAACCTACTATCGAGATCAAATTGAGCAAAGAATGGAATAATTATTACAGAGTGTTTGGTACTTGGAAATGTCAACGTTGCTCAAATAGGTGGAAAAGCGCTCATACTTACATATCACTCCAAAAGTTTATAGAAAAGTCCCGTTTAGATAAGGATGATTTTTACATGCAAAAATGTAAAAACTGTGAAGAAGAGAACAATGATAATTGTGTCATCTCGAGTTACAAACCTCTTAATAAATCTGACCGAGTTCGGGACACCCCTCATGAAGCTGGATTATGTGCCAAGTGTTTGAGTGGCGCTTACTGTGTTCATGACACATTCGTTCCTGGTAAACTTGCAAATGATTTTTTTTTTTAAAAAAAAAGAAAAGTTTTCTATGAATTAGCATAAAATAAATGAAATATTAACGTTTATAGTATTAATTATTAACTATGTTGCAACTGATTAGAGCCCTAAAGTTCAATATATTTTATTGCGATTATATTTAGACATACAGTACATATACAGTATATAATAAAGAAAAAAAAAGAATAGTAAAAATAAAAATCAATAAAAACTAAAATAAAATAAAATCAATTCGATAAAGAGAAAAAAAAAGGAATACAATTGTAATGGCGCACGAACTTTTTCTGTGCGTTCCATATGAAATTGTTCCTCTAATAAAATTTGTATTTTGGAATAATTATCAATTATCCTAATTATTACAGAATAACTCAGTAGTAAATTCTTATAGAATAAATATATCTGTTTATACAGTATTTTGCCATTACAATATTTATTGTTGCAATAATTTCATCTCATGAACAACTCATTTAAGTCGATCATAAATTTCTCTGCCTTACGTTTGAATTATTTCTGATTTCCATAGTAGGTGCCACTTTCCAAACAGATCTCACCATTCTGACACTTTGCACATAAATCACATCTGTGCTTTATATTATCCTCCGATTTTACTAGAGGTTCATAACTCAAAATAATGCCATCACCACCACATTCCTCTTTCTTGCACTTCTGTATGATATAATCGTCATTAAAACGATTTAAACGCTTTCCTGGAATTTTCTCTATAAACTTTTGAAGTGATATCCAAGTATAAGCGCTTCTCCATCTCTTTTGGCAATTCGAACATTTCCAATTGCCGAATACTCTATATTTATTTTTCCATACTAGATGACGAATTATTTCCATGTCAGGCTTTCCCTATCGAGAGGCAAACTTTAGTAGAAAATTCGTTGAATTTCAAAAACGACATATTTATATTCATGACTTACATTTGAATTTTTTGGGTTATACAATAAGAAACTCGAAATCAAGTTTCCCCTATCGTCCCCATGTTCATCGCAAATCCGAATGAATAAACCCAACCAATAGAACCTTTTTGGAATTTCTTCTAAATATTGTTTGAATAATTCCTGGTCATACTGTTTTCGCCATTCGCGTTGACATAAGTTTTCGTGTTGCCATTGCCTTACGTAGTATTTTTTTCGACATTCGATTTCATCTTGGCATTGTGGGTTGTGTTTGCACCCATTCCTATAGAATTGCAATTTATGTATATCTTCACATTGTCTTATCGATCGACATTTCTGTGGTCTGTGTCCACATTGCCATTGATGACATATCCAATAACCATGCACTCTATAACTATTGTTATAGGCTAGGAGACGGATGATATCGATAATCTAAGAAGTGAATATCAACGAGATGTAGAAAAATCCTTTTTTTTCGTATTTAAAGCAACCTACCTGATTTTCTTCCGATTTGTACACTTCATTCCATCTATATATTAATCTGTTCCCAAATCTGTATTTATCGGAAACACTTCTTATTCTATAATTATTATACGCTTCCAATCCTATAGGACCACTCATTATGACTTTGGTACTGCTTTCTTCCAATTTTCTCACTGTGGCGTTGCTATCATCCCAACTACCTGATGTGAGCGTAGTAGTGTCTTCTTCCAACTTGCTTTCTTCCAACTTTCTTACTATAATATAAATATCACTATCCCCATTATTTATTTCGATATTACCACAACTATTTTCTCCTCGATTATTTACTACGTTATGACTATTAATATCCAAGTTATTTATTCTGGTATTATTATCACAATCTAATACCGTGATATTACCTATTTCATTTTTTGCGGTATCTTTGTCATTAGAGTTAATTACTTCTTTTGACATGATTGTATCCGTTAAAATTTTTGAATATTAATTCGAGTGTGAGAACGACCATAATGGCGTTTTTTGGCGAATCCTGAAAATAACACTGAAATTTAATATTGGTCACGTGAAAAATCTCGCCATTAATTGTGTGACAGCCACAAAACTTGAAAAGGCTAATCCTCATATGCATGATCAAATTAAATTTATAATAAAGAAGTTATCGTTGTTACCAGTTAACGAAAAAAGAAAAATTAAATTCCTAATTAAGTATAGCCATTAAAAAAAATCAGAATAAAAAAAAAAAAATAATATATATTCGGTTAAGATTAAAAATCCTCCTTATACGCCATTTCAAAATCTGTGATGTAAAGCAATTGTCATATGCCAAAGAGAAACGTGATATTAGCAGTATCTTAGATGTGATCATCAAATTGCTTTGATCACGTTACTTAACGTGTAGTCATGTAGTTAATCAATGCTCAAATTTATTTTACCCTTATTCATTTTCATCATTTTCATCACAGTAGATGGTTGTTGTTCTAGGGCGACTTGTGGTTAATTTCATCTATATACTACCTTAGAAATTTTATTTCATATTTCATGTGGTTTGCTTCCCCAGTTTTTACTGTTATAATAAAATAAAAATAAAATATCGTCTTGATCGATTACATTAATCGTTAAGAATATTTGGTCATGCACAACAAATTTATATATAGAAGGATTATTAATGGAAACATTAATTGAGTTGAAGAAGAGATATAGTGGTGATCCCAATTCCTTGGGAAAATATAAAATTATTAGATTAATTGGAAGAGAATTGGTTTTGTTCTTAAAAGAGCCATCGAAAGTGTTTATTACAGCAAAGTGTACTAATATATATATATATATAGAAAATTAAAAAAATATAAATGTAAAAATTTAAAAAAAAATTTAAATATTTAATAATATTTTGAAAAAAAATGAAACATCGTAAAATTAGCGAAAGCAAGATAAACTAGAACTTGCGGTGTTAGACAAAATTTGGGAAAAAGACGTATCTTAAAATACGTGAAAAGATATGGTTATCTCGATGTAATGAGGTATTGGAGTTAGGGAAAAATATGAGAATAACGGCTAAAAATAAGAAAAGAAAAATCCTTTTTGTAATATATAATTGAATCAAATAATTTCAGAATTATAAGACAGAGGAGCTAACGGGAAAAAAAAAATAATAAAATCAGAAAAAAAAGATGAAAAGACAAAATTTTAAATAATATATAACGTTAATAATATTGTTAGTATAGTATTTTGATCAGGAAACTAGGGATATATAATAACTCTTTTAGAGGATAGATTAATATTAGATAGGGTCGTCCTTTTTTAAAAAACGTAGTTATATATATACACTGCTATGTATTTCTAATTATATGTTATCGTAATCTACTTTTACTTTAATATTTATTAATAAAAAATGCGATACTAACAATAAAAAACGAATTACATAAATCTTGACTTATAGGTCTAGTCAGTTAGGTTTTTCACAACTATTGCGCGCAACATATCATAAATTGATAAATTGATTTTATTCACCAATTTATTAATAATACTTGATAATTATTGATACTACATAAATAATGATTTCAATTCATAATTCCAAGCATGATACCAAAGATGTTGTTCTGGTTCAATTGGAATAGCTCCTTCACTTTTCAATTCATTGACCCAATGTTTAAGTGGTGTCTCTCCATTATTTGTTAAAGTTGGATTCAAAAAATCCAACACATATTTAAATAATAAATCACCAGTAAGGCCAGGGATTTCAAGTATACTAGCGACATCATCAGCTGATTTAGCTTTAATATATATTGGTTTCCAAATATCTTCTCCTACTCCCCAACTAGAACCACTAGTATTTGCTTTAATTCTTAGTGAAAATATATACTTAGAGGTAAGATCTGAAAATAGTTAATTATGATTATAATAGTAAGTATGAATGACCAGTGGATCTTTAAATCCATATTCTGAACTTTCGTAATTTCTGAAATGAATTAAAATAAAAATTTGTGATTAAATAAATTGTAAAAAAAAAAAATAATTGTAGAAAGCATACCTGTCTTCATTTTTATTATTTTTACTTAAATTAAATAATTGTTTAGTAACAAGTATAAATAAATAAAAGAAAATAAAAATATAATATTACTAATGAAATCTACCTTAAGAATGTTTTCAAGTCTTTACTAGGTAAAATGACAACAGATGCTGACCAACTAGCAGATGGATTGCAACTAAAATTATATTCACACAGAGTTGTAATAATAGCCGTTACTGATATGTTATTATTTACAGGAGAAGTAATCTTGACTCCAGTTATATTAAAATCAGGATCATAACCAAGAAATTTATTAGAGAAAGAAAGTGTTTCAGTGTATGGACGAATAGAATCAAAAATTGCTTGAGTTTCTGGATCAAGTATTAATAAAACTGGCTTTTTTAGTTTTATAGGAAATTTTTTAATTACATTACGAGCAATTGATAATAAATCTTTATCAAGATTTATAAGTTGAGGATAATTATCTATTGCAAATTGACGAAACCAACCCTTAGTTAACGTAGTGCAAATCCTAATAAGTGCCAAATTGTAAGAAGTTTCTTGATTTTCTGAGATCATTGGAATAAGATATCTTTCAAGTGCAATAACCATTGCTTCTTCTTTTACACAATTAAGTTTTGTTTGATAGTCAAGTTTTTCAAAAAGGGATTTTTTTATCCATGCTTTAGACTATATTATAATAATTATTTAAACAATTAATATTAAAATAAAATTTCAATAAAATAAATAACCTTTATAAGATCTTTAAATTAAATTTCTATACCTGATCATCCTTTAGACCTTGATAAATTGGATGATCACCATACTTAACAAGTTCATGTAAATCATCATGAGGAACACGCTTTTGTACAAAAAGATTATCTTCATTTTCTAAGAAATCTTCATTAGACATGTTTAAGTTGATATGTGCACCTGGTTTTCCTTGTATAATTTCAGTTTCTTTAATACGAGTCTTTAACATAAGTTCAATTGGTTCATCACGTTGTGGACTACATAATGGTTGAATAGTTGACACTTTATTATAATCCAATAAAATTCTCAAAAGATGCAAATCTGCAATATTTTTATGAAAATCGGCTGGCCAATTAATATGAGATGTTTTCAAAGCTTCAAGAATTTTCAATGGAGCAACAATACATAAAAAATTTGACATTAATGGAAACATTATTTTATCTTTTATATTTTGACACATTTCTAAAATCATCAAAGAACTTATTTTTGGCCGAATATCATTAAACTTTTCAAATTCAATTTTATTAATATCATCTTGAATATTATCTTTAGAATTGTTGACATCTTCCTTAACATTCTCTTCTTTATTCAAATTTACATTTGACTTCATGTTTCTGAGATCTACTTTATCAGAGACAAGCTCAATATCAAAGCTGATAGGTTTCTCACTTGTTGATAGTTCAATACATTCTCCAACAAGTTTTAGTCCACCTCCCGGATAATGAATTAAGTTGATATTATTAAAAATTGCTCTAGATTCTTTAACTTTATTAATAAATAAAGTTGTTTGTAAAGGAGTTGCTATTAAATCCCAATCATTAGGTTCACGAAAAGAAGAAACATGCCATTTTGCAGCACGTGAACCAATAAGAACAGGACCTACAAGAGGAGTATTAATTTTGTTCTTGTTAATATTGTTTAAAATGATTGATATTTTCTTATAATTATTAGCAAGAATTCGAGGTTTAATCATTTTTTTTTTTTTTTTTTTTAAAAAAAAAGTAAAATTTAAGGTGGGTTCAGATAAGTTGATAATCGAGTTAGATATGATGTTAGATCTGAAAAAAGAGATAATCTAGATTGCTTTATACTGATATAGTTAGTATAATGTACAAAAAAAAGTGAATGTGACCAAATCAAGTAAATCGAATCAAAATTATAATAATGTTTCAAGTTACAATTAAATTACAAAAAAAACCGACAATAAAATTTTTATGAGACGTATAATATTATTAATAATATAATGAAAACATTACTAGTCTACCGTATGTAGATTTTGACCGGTACTGTAAATCATGAATTGCAATTAAAATTTTAAAAATTTGTTTTTGTAACATAGTTATTATGCAGCAGATTTTTTTTATTAAGAAAATCGGTAAAATTAATTTTCTTAGTAAAAGTAAAAGTGATTTGTAACCAAAGAAAATTAATTACTGTATTAACATTAATAAATATTTGAGATAATATTCAAAGGAAATTAAAATAATTTTCGTAGTAAAAAAATATTAACAATATCATTATTATATCAAAATATGATTCTTAATTTATTAAATATGTATTGTTATAATATGTATGCTATGATAATTTGTTTCTTACAAAGTATCTTATTCATAGATATTATATTCCATATTCTTTAAGTTACTTATAAATTGTTACACCACGACACCACCTTTAATTTAAAAATTTTACTCCAGTATATAGAATTTATAATAATAATTTTAATAGGAAATATGAAGTCAGTATTTAATATTAATTTAAAAATTACTTGATTTGATTTTATTTTTTCATAGTGATAATATGATAACCAATTTAAATTATTCATAGTTTATATTATTATTGAAAATAAGATTTTATGAGACTGGCATAATATATCATATTATTTCTTTAATCAATACATAAAGGAATTTGTAAATTTATTAAGTAGCAATTTATAATACAATAGAATAATAAAATATAAGTAAAAAAATATTTACATGAAAATAATATAAGTCGTCATTTTAAGATCCCAATTGATGAATAATCAAAAAGATTTCTTTGTTAAAAACTTTAATTACTGATGATAACTTCATTTAACTGATATACAACGATAAAATTTTACTTTTCCACTATATATAAGAGAACATATAAATATCAGTATAATTTGATATAATGATATTTTTCAATGATTTTCATATGGGTCCCAACATTGTTATATTGGAGTTTGACAGATTAGGGAAAAAGGAAAAATTGACCAAGACTTCAATTGATCATAAATACATTTTCTGGAAGATCACCTAACATTACAGAAATAAGCGGAAAACATCACAATGCAATTCAGCACCATTGTCCGTTCGAAGGTTAAAATCCAGTATCTTTATTATAGCCAAGCAATGGTAATTTTAAGAGTGAGAAGGTATTTCTTCTTGATATTAATTACATTTCTCGTATGTGATTATCTGGATAATATCAATTATTTTTTTTACTTAATGGAATTTTTGGGATGATTAAGCTTTATGAAGATTTGATCGAAGCTAATGAAGGTAATAACTAGTTTTTTGTTATATAAATTTATTATCGCAATATTTATTTATCAATATTTATTTATCATTGTACTATCGAACACTAGAATTGTATGAACGGATGCGCCATGAAGACAACCCTGATGGCAAGTTACATGGGAACAATAGAAGATGCAGGTCAATGTACTGTCGATGTTACTATTACTGATGGTAAAAATGAGCAGTGCTTTTATTAAGGGTTCTCTTAAATAAAAATAACAACATTATGCTAAATTTGAATAAGTTAAGATTAGACTTCTTTATCCCATTTACAGTAAAACACACCTATTCAGTAATTTGCAAACTTATCTATTTTTGTACTAGCGTTAGAAGCGTTAGATGCATCTTTGACAATAGAAAAGCTCCGAATACAAAATTATAGATATATTATGAGTTTACGAATTGTATTTTACCTCTAATATCATGCCAATTTCACTGTAAGGATTATATTCTAAATGAACCAATGGAAACTGGTTACTGTGATTTTTACGACCAATTTAACTTTTAATCAATATTTTTTTATTGTGACTTGGCGACATAGTATTAGAAAATGTAATAATAGTGTAGACAAAAAAAATTGATAATATCATTTCCAATAAAAACTTTTTAATTCTTTAACACTAAGTATTTTTCAAAGTCTCGTAACACTAACTTTCCAAAGTCTGTAACTTTGTATCAGAATAACATATAGTTTTTAAAGTTCATAACTTAATAAAAAACAAAATTAAGTCGATATTCTTAGTAATAAGTTGGATTTTGGGTGAGCATTGTTTGATAACTTCAAGCGTAACATTGCTATGCTTAGAAGTAAATATAATTTTCAAAGAATTTTTAAAAAAAGGGTTTGAGAGCTTTTGATAGTTTGTTGAAGCTAATTGTATTAAATATTCAATTTTAAGAAATTAATATTCTTCTTAATATCTATTTTACAATATTCCACATATTATTAATTAATTAAGATCAATGTCCACTTAAAATTCATCCTTTTATATAAAAAGATTAGTAGTTCATTTGAATCACATCATTGCTGGCTAATTAAATCTAATATTCTGATTTAAATCGTACAATCCGTCTAAATTACCAGTTGTTAATTGGGCACAATAATTTACACACGAAAAACGCTGAGTGGAAATCCAGGTTAGGAGTACCACGCACTGGGTGTACTTTGTCCATTCTTCCATTATTTTAAATCTCTCACCTTCTTTACTACCTATTTGCTAATGTTGCGAACAAATACTCATGAAAAATTTGTAAAATTGTCCAAATTTGATCTATACTTACTGTACAAAAATCTCATCCAAAAGCGTCTTCCAGTTCACCCAAAATGTCTCCTAAATATGTCAATTCTGCTACATGCAGCCAGCATTCACACAACGGAAGTACGATGTTCATGCTGAAGAAGATCATTAAAAGATGGTTTATTTGATGCGATCCATCATTTGCGTGAAGACGGTCCATACCATTAGTCGTCCACATATACAAGATAACTAATTTTATATAAAACTAGTTGTAACCCGTCGCGCTGCGCCGGCGGGGATAAAACTTCTTAGTATTTTGATAATAAATATTTACAATATGGTAAGGTTAGACTAATAAATTTATATAATTTATATAATTTACATATTTAATTCTATTTCATCATTTTTAGGTCCTTTAGTTCTTCCAGTAAGGTTCAGTTGTTTTTCACTTTACATTTCGTTTCTTACTCATTTTTTTATTTTTTATTTTGTTTCTGTTTTATATTTCGTTTTTCACTAATTTATTTTATTTTTTTTCAGATATTTTAGTTCTTTCAGTTCTACAATTAATAAAGGTATTTTTTTTATTTTTTTTTTATTTTTTTTTATTTCGTTTTTATCTTATATTTCATTTCTTACTAACTTCATTTTTTGTTTACTTTATGGTTTATTTTTTACTTTGTTTCCTCATGATCACTTTTTTATTTTTGTCTCTCATCATTTTTCACTTTATACTACTTCTCATTATTTGTCTCCCATTATTTTCTATTACATCTTCATTTTCTATTATTTCATTTTCTTTCCTATTTAGTTCCCATCATTTCTTTTGTCTCTCAATCACTTCTTTTCATTTCCATTACTTCTTTTCGTCTCTCATCACTCCTCTTTATCTTTCATCATTCCTTTTCGTCTCCCATCATTCCTTTTCGTCATCCATCACTCCTTTTCGTCTCCCATCACTCCCTGTC